TAGGGGTTGGGGTTTAGGATTTGGGGTCTTAGGGTTTAGGACTTAGGTTGTAGGGTTTAGGGCTCGATGTGCCTACGTATGCTTCTTAGATACATGAGGCTTTTGTGCGGCATGCGTACTGGACCTAGGTTCACAACGGCGACCTGCTGACTCCAAGCTTTTTGGAACCATGGCTGGGAGGGCGGAAAACAGGTGAAGGACTAGGATTAAGAGCTAGAGTTTGTAGGGTTGGGGTTTGGGTGGAAGCGGAGACCTTGGACGGCTGTGCACTTGTATGCCAGCAGGAGATCCAGCAACTTGAATCAGGCGGTTTAGGGCTTCAGGTTCTGCAGCAGCCTTATTTGGGGATCCAGATAGCCCAAAGTAGGCAGTGCTTTCAGACTTCCAGGCCCGAATAAGACATCATGAACAAACTTTAAGGCCCGAAGTAAGTATCATTTCCAGACATAGATCCTCCGTGCTAGGGAATCTGCTCTAGCAAGCACGGGGTGCGGGTTGAAGAGTTTTGGAGATCTATTGCCGAATTTCGCACCTAGCGCAACTGGGGGGGGGGGGGTATGGAGATTAAGAGGGTCCACTACACCAGCTGCTTAGAGTCCTGAAGTCTATAGTACCTACTTTGGATCTATACCCCAATCCCTAATCCCTAAATCTAGGCCCTAAATGACAGCAGTTCCTGGCTTCCAGCCACTCCTGATAGCTAAGCCACGGCAACTCCCTAAGCTTGAATGCTTTACTCTGTGGGACTACTGTTGATACAAAGACTCCCACATGACCTTAACATAGTATGAGCTCTAGTCTAAACTCCTTAAAGGGGGGGGTCATATAGGGGATTATATAGGGACTATTGTAGGGGTTGTTAAGGGGGATGCTAGGAGTTTGGACTGTAATTTCCATTTTTGGTGGCACTTGGGGTCATGCAGTTTTTTTGTCATCCATCGTAGGATTGAACCTTAAGCATGTGCATGTCCTGATAGGGAGCAAGTTAAATGCCGATAGTTACATGGTCCCTAGGATTTCCAGGAATCCTAAGGTGATTAACCCAAAGCTTTAAGGGCGCACCTTCCCGCACCCCTGCCCCTAACACTCAAGCCGCAGCCCCCGAGTAAATAACAAAGAGGCCCAATAGATGGCGACATAGATTTTAGGCTATGATGGGAATATTTTAGGTGGACCCCCCAACCAGTAATAGTGACTATAAGGGCTAATAACGCTTGTATTAGGGTCCTCTGATATTCCTAATATTCCACTATTACAGGGTGGGGGGGTCCTCCCAAGGAATATTTATTTTGAGGGAGCGGGGACTACGAAAATAGCCCATGTTGTACAAACACACGGTTGGGGGTACAGGGTTTAGGGGACCAAGTACCTTAGGGGCATACCGAAACCCTGTTAATTGGATTCTTATACCTTGACCTTAAACCCTAACCCCTAAGCTCCTTAAGTCCTAAATCGTACGACCTCAATGTTGGCTGAGGATCAGCTCCGGAATTCCTCGCCCCTGATGAAGCGGGCCACGCCGTGTCGCGGCAAATGCGGGTAATGTAGGGCCCCACGTAGGGTTTAAGGCCCGGGGCTTAGGGTAGCTAGAAGGGGTTGCAGGGATGGAGAACTGGAATTCGAGTTTGGGGATAGAAAGAGAGATTGTGGAGGATCTCGAGATAGAAATCAAAGCTTTGGATGGCACCTCATAGAAAACTTGAAGCCGGACGAGGGTGCAGAGAGGCCAATTGCAGTTTCAATGTTGTCTGTTCATAAAGGAGGGTAAGTTTCAGGTCTCCAGAGTTGGCTGCTTTTGAGGTTTTGCTGTCCGGTAAAGAATATTGTAGTCTGCGCTGTTTAGGGTTTAGGGTACCTTTTGGGGGGGTTGAATGTGGATCATAAGATATTGGAGCGCATATTCTTTCCATTCCCTACAACCTCTAGGTAACCCCGATACCCCCTTTCGAGAAAGAGCTATAGCGATCACCCCCCAAGCCCCTCCCAGCTGTCAGGTTTTACAAAACCAAGAAGCTGCGCATTGCGATGCATCTTCGGAGAGGAGACCTCCACATTGGCTCTAACCGAGGCGCCTGCCTTGAGACAGTTGAGGAATGAGGGTTGAGGGTCTATAGGGTTCCAGGACCTTCCTTGTACCCTTAATTGGGGATATATGGTCCCTAATAGTGGGTACTTAGGCCCTAATAGAGGGTAGGAGGAGGGTCTATAGGCTGGGTATAAGGGTTTAGGGTTTAGGGTTTAAGGTTTAGGGTTTAGGGTGAGGGTCTATAGGGTTTAGAGTTGGGGCTTATAGGGTCTACCTTAGCCTCCCCAAATGGGCATTTCCCTCAAAATTATGTAGCTGATTATTGGAGGTATTGGGGAGGTTCAGGTCGGTCTAAAGGGTTGGACCTGCAGTATTGCTACCATCTCTGAACTTGAAACAGGCCAACACCTACAGCAGCATTTTCAAGGCAACCCCGCATATGGGAGTTTCCCTAAATAGGGGGACCCAATGTAGACCCCAAAATACTATAGTCCTTATTAGTGGGGACCCCCAAAAAGGTACCCCTAATTTTGGGAAACCCTAAACCCTAAACCCTAAATAGTAGCTTCCATTTTCTTTTCCATTATCCCTATAGAACCCCATATACCCCCTATAAAACCTCTAAGGGTACCCCTAATTTTGGGAAACCCCGCATATTCCTAGACAGGGAGCCTTAGGCCTTCAACAAGGGCCCCGCGCAATTTTGAGGAAACCTGTGCAAATGCCCTCAGGAGTTGCTTTCAAAGGAAGCCGGGTGGGTAGTTGGGTGCCCATTGTTTGTTGAGTTACGGCTATGTGGGACTTTTGCTAGTATGGGTTCCGTTTGAGTTCTAAGTATAGTACAGTCCAGACATGAGTTTCCTCGATTGTGGGAAGAGTTATTGGAGCGAACTTTTACAGGGCAGGTTCTCAAATGGTACGGTCCACCGCTTGCGTTGCCTGATTGGCAAGATAGCATGAGCCTAAGCATGCCTATGCTCCCTCAAGCACTTGGTAGCTTCCCCAAATAGGGGACCCCAATCTAGAATCCCGAATACTACAGCCCTTCTTTTAGGGCGCCCAGAAAGGCACCCGTAATTTTTGGAAACTGCCCTTTCCGAAAGACAACTGATGTGTACACACCTTCCCATCACTTAATTTCACCTCCCACCCTTTCATAGTGACTATAATGGATACTAAGGATTATACGAGGGTCCCATTGTATTCCTTATATACCTCCCTAAACCCTAAACCCTAAAACCTAACCTATATTCCTATTATATCACTATTACAGGGTGGAGGGGGTTCCTCCTAAAGCATCACTGTCAAGTCACGAAGCCCCCCGCAGGCATGCCTGATGAGATGTATCACCAGGCAGCCGGCGTTTGTCCAGCGTTACCCAGAGGGTTTAGGGTTTTAGGGTCCATTTATCCAATAAATAGGTACTTGGGTTTTGGGTAAACCCAAGTACATGATTATTAAGTACTGGGACCCTGGGACCCTTAGGGGTAGGTGCGGAGAACCTAGTACCCGTTTTCCTCTTTCATGTTATAACTGGATAGGCCCCTACACCCTAAACCCTTAACCGTCAACTCCGTATTTTTTCTTCGGTATTATGAAGCGCTTTTTCCATCGTGGGTTGTCTTCCGACCAAACTTGGCGATGTCTTTGCTAGCCTCGAACAACACAATGTGGACAGGTGACATCTTTGATGGTAACATTCGCCCTGAGGGTCCCAGTTCCCCACTTCTTGGGGCTTTAGGTACCAGAAATCTGTCGCTGACAACTAGTACCTTGAATGTCCAAGGACCCAAATAATAGTGTTTTGGAGCCCAAATGCCATAATATTAATGGTATTTTTTGGGCCCTAGAGCCCTATCATTTGAGTCCTGTGACCTTTAGGGTACTACCTTGAAGATCCAAGTACCCACATATGTAGTATTTAATTTGGGGATACTATGGTACCCAATATAGAGTAAGATTCTATCCTCCTTTTTGGGGTATAGTATTTTCTATAAGGAATATTATCTTCCTAGGTTTCAACCACCAAAAAAACACGACCCGCATAGAGGCTACCTCAGGTGCGGAAGTGCTCCCTGCATCCTTCGACGGGTTGCGGAGTTGCAGAGACCACTATGAGCTACAGTAAGGGGTTACTATAGTAACCCCCCCCCCCCAAAGGTACCCTCCCAGGGTTTAAGGAGCTCAAAAGTTCTATATAGGGCTTCATATAGGGTTCTGAATCTGGGGGGGGGTACCTTTGGGGGGGGTTTTCTTGTAATCCCTCATATAGTCTAAACTCCTTAAAGGGGCTCGATATAGGTGATTATATAGGGGATTACTATAGGGGTTGCTAAGGGGGGGGGGTACTAGCAGTTTAGACTCTAGCTCATGTCGGCCAGAGATATGAGTTGGTTCGAACAAGCGCTACTTGCACGTTCTTCTGTATTCTTGTGTTTGGGAATGCCATTGGTGTGAGAACCTCTCGCTTCTTCTTCTGTATACTGTAGCCTAGCCCAACGTCCGACACCCTGAACGCTGAACTGTGTAACTCAGCATCCTTGTTGCGTTGGCTGTAGGGTGTTTCCTTCTGGCCTTATACGGGATCCCAGCTACTGATGTAATTCTTGATGTGCTCAGATGGGTTCCAGAGACTTGTCCATGATCGTGCAATCGCAGGTCTAAGGGTCCAAGTACCTAATATTCATATATACTTACCCAAAACCTGTACTACAATTACTCTTACCCAAATCCCAAGTACCTAGTTATTGGGTATATGGACCTAAAACCCTAAACCCTGTATACCCCTATATACCCCCTATGTTTCCCTATATATCCCTTTTATTTTAAAGGCACCTAATTATTGGGTACTTGGGCCTTCTGGGAGGTCCTAAGCACTGTGCGTCATGCGGTCGGCGAGGAGGCAGAACTCCACGCCCTCGGCAAGCATTTTCAAATGGCAGTGCTTCGGAACGGGACACTACCTGGGTTTATAGGGTGATATATAGGGACATTAGGGGATTATATAGGGGCATATAGGACCCAAATAACAGGGAAAGCCCAGATACCACAAATGTTATCGTATTTGGCCCCTAAAACCCTATTATTTGGGTCCTTGGACCCTTAGGGTAATACAACAAGCCGAAAGCAACATTACTCACTACTACCCCGGTCGCACAGAGTTTTCAGGTGATCGGTATGAGAAGGTTGTAGAGTCGCTGTAGAAATCCTTTGTGGGGAGAACTTGGCGAGACTGTCAACGCCCCAGAGCTGCGGGATGGCAAAGTCTTGCATGACTCTGACAGGGGTTTAGGGTTTAGGGCGTTCCTAGGCTTGACGGGGGCCTGGCATGTCCAGATGAGTCGCTAACGTCTCAAGTCCGCGAAGTGGAACCTGGACAAAGCTTGCCTTCTGGTGTAAGGCCAACAAAAAGGCACAGATCCCTGAATCAAAGCCGAAGTCCGTTTTTTCGTGCCCACTCTGATGCGGCCACCACAAACCCTAAACCCTAAATCTAAACCTCTCTCAGCTTCAGAAATCATAAGTAGTTTTGACAGCCCCTCAGATAACCGTGTTTTTACAGGAGCACCAGAAATGATTCTGAAATGCCGATAATGGGTTTAGCGTCTAGTTCAAGTACCCAAATTACAGGGCCATTGGGCCCCAAATACCATTCAGATTTGCTAAAGCCCTATTGTTTCCGTGCCTTCAGGGTAACGGCGACAAGCTGAGGTCTTCAGTTCCACTGTGCCAAACTACAAGCCTTCAGCCTTCAAAAGCACCTGGCCTTCAGATACGGTGTTCCTTAAACTTGTAATCCTTCAGGTGTCCCTATAAGGTCTTTACAATCCCACAAAAACCTCTAGGGTACCCCTATTTCGAGAAGCCTTCACCTAGAGTGCAACAAGTTTCAGATAAGGCCTGGCCTGATTCCCAAGATTTATAGGGTTTAGCAGTCTAGGATTCAGGGTTTAGGACTCAGGGTGCGAGCCTCAGATGACAAAGGGTAAAGGGTTCAGGACCAAGTTTAGGAGTCTTCTAGGAGTCTAGGAATCAAAAAAAGGTAGGACATCCAGGGTCCAGAGAAGCATTGGATATCAGCTTTCATGCCTGAATGAGCTTGCTGGTGCTTAATGTTGCGTTTGTTCCCTGTCTTAAACGTGTTTCGGCCGCCGCTTACAGAGTTCCGGCCTATTGTTTCACGACTCTCTCTTTAAGGTGTTTTGGTTCTTTAATATCTTTTGGTTTTAGGCCCCTAACCGAATCCAGGCCATCCTCTTTAAAGTAATTCTCAGAGCCTCCTCGTGCCTGGAGTACCGCTGGAGCCTTATTGAGGACGCCTTATTTTCTATTTTCTGGGATCCCCTATTGTGGGGTCGGGGGCAACAGTAAACAGAGTGCAACATTAAGGCAATTAAGGGGGAGAGGGTGGGTCAATATTTGTCCACTCGCCGAGAAAATTCCAGCCAGATGCGTCACCCAATCAGACGCGCAAGGACCACATGAGCTATACTCTAAACTTCTTAAAAAAAGAGGGTTATATAGGGATTATATGGTATCATAGGGCTTCTGAAGGGGGATACTAGGAGTGTAGACTAATGTTGGACCCGCTTCAGTACGTACGGACCCCAGCCCCAAACAATTGAGGACCCTGAATAAATTGTTTGAAAGGGTTTCAGCTGAATTGTAATGTAATGGTACTAGTATTATATAGTATTAGTATTTGTATTCGTATGTTAATTGTTCCAACGTAAAAAAATACGACTTTGGACCCCAGAACTTGACATCAAAGAGGGTCCCTCAAGCACATTTTGATCCTGAATAAGCACCGGAAGCTTGACATTGAAGAGGGTGCCCGAGCATAACAAGGTCCAACGCTATAGCTCACATGCATGCCTGTGGCAAACACATTGCCCGAAGACCTTTTAGCGAGTCAACTTAAGACCCTAAACCCCCAAAACACCTCCCCCAAAAAAATAAATCCTAAAACCCAAACCCTAAAACCCGCAAACCCTAAATCCTACAACCCTAAATCCTAAACCCTAAAATCCTAATCCCTAAAACCCTAAACCCCGAAGCCTCAATCCCTGTATTTTTTTCAGCTTAGGGGATCCCCGAGATGCTATGGTTTGTAATTAAATGAGGCATAGTCTAAGCTCCTCAAAGGGATTCATTATTTAGGTGACTATAAAGGGGTTTATTATAAGGGTTATTAAAAGGGGGATAGTCTAAACTCCTTTGTCTATGGTTTAGGGGTTAGGGTTCAGGACTCCTTTGTATATGGTTTAGGGTTTTGGGTTCAGGACTCCTTTCCTAGACCCTCCATCTACCCTCGGTATACCTAAATACCCACAATTAGGAACCGTACGAGGGTCCCGGTAAGGGGATTATTTAGGTGACTGTATAGGGGACTACTATCGGGTTATTCAGGGGGATACTTAGAGTATTTGGGCTCTAAAACCTTATTATTTGGGTCCTTGGACCCGTAGGGTTTCTATTGCCCTGCAGCACAGGCTACCACAACCGGGGCGCAGAAGTTCACCTTGACCCTCGGCCGCAAAGGGGCTTCTTGTGATAGAATGGCTCTTGTTCGCGTAAGCCTCATCCTCAGGGTGCAGGGTTTGGGTTTAGGGTTTAGGGTCCTCAGGTTATAGGGTGTAGGGTTTGGGTTTAGGGTTTAGGGCTTCGAACCCTAAACCTCAAAAGTGGATGCCTGGGTGTATCGTTTTCCTCTTGGCAAGTTACTACCCGGCGCATTGTAGGGAATGAAGGAAAGGGTCCCTCCAGGAGTCTCGTTTAAAAGGGGGGGGGGGCTATGTAGAGATTAAGGTCTAGGGTTAGGGTTACAGGGGACGAGTACAGGATTATTAAGAGGCATACTGGGAGTTTAGGCTATAGCTCACATAGACCTTTGTAATACATCCGGGAAATTCCCATATGGTATATACACCTATTGAAGATTTGCAACTCTTAATGCGGCACCCTGCATAATTGGGATTTGCCTAGCATGCTAGTTTTCAGTTTTAACGGTCGCCAGAACGATACATTTTGTGGGTGAGCTTTATACGATTTAGGGTCGCTGGTGAACTAGGCCATTGGCTGTAGAAAGTCAAGCATGATACAGAGAAACCCTATACACCCTAAACAGAACCCCTATAAACCCTACAATATATAAACCCTATACACCCTAAGCCCTAAAATCTACAGCCAGCTGAAGGATGGTGAAGAGGTGGATGATTGGGCACACATGATGCAGGCGCGTTGCCCTTCAAATTGTCCGATGCCGTGGATACAGTCCTCCGTGAGTAGATAGAATATGGGGTAAGAATGGGGCTCTGAAAATATTATGGCTTTAATTCCATATTTTATCCAACCTGAGGGAGGCTGTAGGCAAATTGCAGTTCAGTCAGTGTGGTTGCAAAGATCTTGGTGGAATCAGAAGCACGTTTTAGATTCTAGATGCATTGCTGTTTCCCATGCTCTTAGCCCTAAACCATAGACCCTGACATGAAGCCTTCAGTACTTGCGATTGCCAAAAGTATTGTCCCTGTTAAGTTCTCTGTATATTACAGCTCGTAATATGGTACGGTGCTTATAAAATGTTCTAGCAGTTCCAGTGTTCAGGAATACACTGTTTAGGGTTTATGGTTTGGGCCAAGGGCCCGAAACCCTCAATCCTAAACCCTTAACCCTAAACCTTCAAGGGCTCAGGTTGTGGTGGCCTTGGGATAGCAGCAGGCAAGGCAAGCAATGCAAGCGCGCCTACACGTGTTGGACTAGACCCTAAACCCTATAAACCCTATTAGGTTTTAGGGTTTAGGGTACTAAAGTCCCTCGAGGCCTTGCTACCTTATACTTACTGGTTCTTGAAAGGGCAACAAGGGAATATAAATCCCATCTCATATATTCCCATATTCCCCACGAAGAATCCGTAAGTTCTATAGGATTCAGCCGGAAAGTCAGACAGCCCGCAATCCGCTCAAGCAGGCAGCCGTTAAGCCCTCAAATCGAATTCAGAGGCTTTCGGTGAGGTAAACTGAAGATATTGTGGTTTCGAGAGATCTGATAGTCGTTTATGCTCCTAGTGGTGAGCTCCTGAACATCAGCAGGAAATTGGAGCAGTTGCAAACTGTGGAGTGACTTTCAAGGAAACTGCAGTTTGGGATTCGAGGGCTTAGAGGTCTAGAATGGGGTGCCGGTCGTGGGCCAGCTTGCCTCAATACTCAACCTCATATTCTAAGCCGTCAGAAGGTCTAGAAGGCACAAACCCTAACCCATAAACCCTACACCGTCCCTAAACCCGGAAGTCCCTAAATCCCAAGGACCTAAACTGCTAAATCCTAAGGCTAGAAACCCTAAAGCCCTAGCCCTAAGACTTCAAGCCGGAGCACACCCTCGAACCAGAAAGCCAATGCGCTCAACCCTAAACCTTAAACCAGATCCACAACCCTAAGCCCTAAATCCCAAGCCCTAAACCTTAAGCCTTAAACCCGCAGGCTGATGTGCTCATACTATCCCCTAGCAGCTTCGCTTGGGTGCCGGGCGTGCTGAACCGAAACTGCGCGACCCATCTGAATTGGGGGCCTAAATGTATGTGCAGGGGTTATCCGGGTTTAGGGTTTAGGGTGTGGCATTGAAGTCGGGTTTCTCAAGAAGGGTGACTCGCAGGCATCCCAGAGATATCAAAGATTAGACTCCTCAACCCGTTTTGGGATTTAGGGTTTAGGCTCTAGGTATTATACATGAACAACTTAAAGCCCGGCTTCCACTTGTTGAGGGTTTGAGTTCATGTGATCAATATACGGATTTAGGGTTTTCGAGTTTAGATTTTTGTGGTATAGTGCCCCTTATGTAGATAGAATATGGCTTTGGGTATATTATAGGAAGATCCCCACATACCCCATATTCTATCTACTTAAGGGGAACTATAGGGTTAGAGGCCGTTGTGGTTTCATGGGAAGTAGTCCGTAGGCTTGAGACGGCTGAGACACGGTTTTATGGTTTAGGGGTTTAGGGGTTAGGGAAAGCAAGTGGTCGTAAGCAAGACACACGATGGACTCTCGTCGAGTTAGGTTTAGGAATCTTGGGGTTTCGGGTCTTTTCAGCATGACAGCCTCAACTTACTCATCAGCTAGTAATCACCTCCCCCTACAATAGCCTCCTCCGCATACCTTTAAAAATCAATAGAGTCATGCATGGGAAGTCACCGAGGTCCTTACGTTGGGGCTTTTGGTGTACTCAAGCAACAAACCTTACCGGACCGTCCCAGGGAACCACATTAATTACATAGCCTGACATCTGTAACCCTGAAGCCCCAAGTCCTAAACTGCCCGAAACCCTAAACCCTGAAGAGTTACAACCCAAACATGTGAAGTATCAATGAGCTCAAGGCAAACCATAGACCTGCTTTTGGCTCAGGGTTTAGGGCTTAGGGTGTGAGTGTGTTGTAATATACCTACTTGGGGACCATAGTCCGTCAACCATCTTCCTTGGTTGCCCTGAGTCATTGGGCTGAAGATTAGTCCCCCAAACTGGGTCATGTGGTTTCTAGATGTGTTTGTTAAGGATTTAGGGTGGTTTTGAAACAGGGGAGGTTGCCACAAATAGTGGGCCGGAAGACAGACCCCAATCTATTCTATTCCTTTTTCTAGGTCGAAGAGGGGTTCCAATGTAGCAAGATCTGGGTGGTTGGAGTCTCCAGGTCCCAGGAGGTTACAATGTGTTCTGTGCCATGGACAGTGCTCAAGGCACATGTTCTCCGACCCCACCTTTGCAACTTGCGCTAGACAGCCACACAAGACTGCCTTTCTGAAAAATTAGCGCAACAAGGAACTCGTAAACCTCTTGCGTCCAGGGTAGTAGATGGCTCCCGCCATGCCCATTCTTATGACAGACGACTAGACCCTCAGAAGCCCCGAACCCTGAAATCCAGCAACTGTACCACAGGTGCTAGGTTTCCCCTGGCTACCAAGTCCATGCAACGGCATAAAATTCATAATCCTAAGCCCTAAGCCTCCCCATCCGAACCAGGTGGTAGGTATCCTTCCTTTTGAGCTATAGTCTGAACTCCTTAAAGGCGTTATATAGGGGATGATAGGGGATTACTATAGGGATTATGAAGGGGAAATACTAGGAGTTTAGACTATAGCTCATATAGGTTTAGGGTTTAAGGTATCCACAAAGGAAGGAGTAAGCCTCTTAACCCTAAGGTGGTAGGTTTCTCGCGCTACTACCCCCTGGGACACTGGACGGTTCATCGAGATGGCGACTTTTCGCACTCGGCGCTGCGGCTTGGCGAGGGCATTTGGGTTCACCTGTAACCCCAATCACTTGCAGCTTTACGGTAAATTCTATTCAGCTGTAGGTAATTGGGGTTACAGGTATACTTCTTACAAAGTAGTACAAAGGTGTAGGGCGCAGGGGCCTAGAGTTTGGGATTCTGTGTTTAGAGAAATTCTTGAATATTCGATTGGGATTGGCAAGAGCCCAGCGGCTCCATCATGATCATCTTTCTGCAGAACTTTACCTGTTTCACCCGAATACCCATATACCACCTAATTTGGGGTTGAGCCCATTCTCTTGGGTATTTGGGAGGTCCAGGGGCTTTTTGATGTAGGATGCCTGGATGGTGGTCAGTTTGGGTGCGCGGGGGAAGCAGCAATCAAACGAAAAAAGCTTCTCTGCGTCGGCGCCAGACGCGATTAAGCGCAAAGCGACGGGACGGTGCCTCCCTGCTGGGGCCTAGTCTAGACATGTGGGGATGTCCAAAAAACGTGGAAAACGCAACCTTGCATTGGGGTTGTTATTGTAGGATGGATGGGTCGCGATGCGCTTGTAGGTTTCGAATTCGGCAGGCTGTAGTTTGTGTATTGAGCAAGTACTGTACTTGCCTGTATACATGGGTTTTTCTCCAAAAGATTCTCTCAAAATCCCTTGCAGGCACCCTCCATCCCCTCATGATCTGTCTACAGAGGCTGCTGATAGGTAGGAATCGCCACAGTACACCCAACATCTGGGTTGCAATGCATTCCGGGTCCTTTCACGGAGTTGCAGGTCCAAACACTAATTCGGCAAGAAGCTGCTACAGTAGACGCTTATGACTTGGCAGGCTACTGCTCCCACCCTGTAACAGTCACTTACAAGACCTTTACCGTATTGATAGGGCATAATGTCGCTACGTTTAACATAGTAGAGGCTGATGTAAGGCATACGGTTAGAGGTTGAGGGCCTGTGCGTCTTAGAAGGTTGTTTACACCAGGCCAGGGAAGCCCCGACGTCCTTGTGTAGATAGACCTGGCTACTGCCCATGACCTTTCCCCGACATTGCAACTTTACACACACCCAAGAACCCTATATGACCTACGGTCTAAACTCCTAGTCTCCCGCCAAACCCTACAGTGCTCCCTATACAATCCCTTATATAACCTTGTAAACCCTAAACCCTATATGACCCCCTTTAAGGAGTTAGACGATAGCGCATATGACCGTTGTGTGGCGATGCCAGCATCTAACCTCTCAACGCTGGAAGACTGGGGTTTAGGGTTTAGGGACAATTCTAGTGATGTAGACCCATGCATTGATGTCGGCCATGTCTGCCTAGACCCTTTCCCCTAGATAGTAGTTTCCACTTAATTTTCCATTCTCCCAATATAACCCCAATATAACCCCAATACAACCCCATATAACCCTAATATCACCCTAATATAACCCCAATATAATCCTAATCTAACCCTAGTATCACCCCAGTAGAACCCCAGGTTAAGAGCTAGAGCTTTTGGCAGGATCAGAGGCGCAGGGTTACTTGAAATTCAGGGGCTTTGGCTACACCATGGCCCTTTTTAAGAGGAGTTTCGAATATGATTTGTAGTGTACTTGCTGTCAGGTATTTAGCGCATCTTAAAGCTGTGAGAAGCTGCCATGTAGACCTGCTCTTGTTTGACCCAAGTGAAGCTCTATAGCTGCTATCTTTTTTCGAAAATTCCTCTGAGGGCGCGTCTCAAGACGTGCATCGAGGAGAGGAAAGCGGCCAAGAAGAGGTAGTGAGGCCCGCTGCATGGCCTCGAGTGACTTTTAGATCCGCGGCCTCAAATAGGGTGGCCTGTAACTGAGGGGTCCTAGGGTGTCCACCATATGGTCTTCTGTGATGAGGGCCCCATGCATAGGGCCCCCTCAGGGCTTGATCAAGACTTCATGCATGTGAGCAGTTTATGTGTCAGTCGAAAAAGGTCCTTGGACACCTGGTCCCGTCCTTCACGTGGCTCCTGTGAAGCCATGATTGAGAACAGAGGTGGATTTTAAGTGAGGATTTTTTTGCGTGTACAGCTTCGGGAACCAGGCAGCCAAGCTGACTAGCACCCGTTGGCAACGGCCTAGCCGTTGAATTCGCCTTTACCTCACGACGTGAAAGTTTGATCCCAACATATCCCAACCTAGAAAGAGTCCCTAAGACAGGACCGGGAAAGTACCCAACAATACTCTTTTATACTAAGCCCTAAGCATTTAAACTTTTCTGCTCTGCAAGAAATTCCTTCAATAATTCCTTAATGACCTCAGTCAACTCCGTCTTGACTTACCAACATAACCATCTGCCTCCAAGATGTCGAAGTCCGCATAGCGGCCACACAAAAAGGCGCACGACCTGCTGCGGCGTTTGGGTTCTCAAATGAGCCGGGGTCAAATTTACCGTTATTGTACAGTAGTGAGGAG